TTACATTATTATTTCTCCTCCTTATCAAATACTATTAAAGTTTCGGGCAACCGGACTTAATAGTTATCGCACTCATTTTTATACCTTTTCCTTACTATATATTTCAAATTAATTTAAAATCTTTGATCAATAGAACTTTCTACTTTATTTTATTTATTTATTTATTTTAAATAAAACCATATGCAATGAGGATAGAAATTTTTATTAAAATTTAAAATATTTATTATAAAGAACTGATTCTGTTTGTATTTTATCTCAGGCAAAAAGTAAGCACTTTTGTTTCTGGTATCTGGTTGGGAAATGGAATCTCAAAAAGATAGCAAAAGATGAATTTGCTTCATCACCACATCATCCAATTAATGTAAGAAAAAGAATTCAAGAATCAGAGAATCGTTTACGATTTGCGAAGCGTGTCAAGGTATTAAATTTTTAAGTATTTAGAATTATTTTAACACTTATTCACTTAACTACAATATATTAGACCAGTTTAAAACCAAATAATGAGCTTAATAAATTCATTGAAGCAATTATAAGTTCTGATTTGAAGCAGTTGCCTGAAAATGAACCGCTCCGAAGTTGGCACATCAATACCGATACTATCCCATCCATTGTGTTTAATCATTTTCCATCTGAGTTCAAACAACTTCATATAATTAATGATAAATATAGATTTATTCTTCCTGATGATGCTAAAATTTGGTTTGAACTGAGTTGGGAGTCTTTTACGAATGATTTAACATCACCGAATCTAGACAAACTAAAGTATAACAGAGGAGATAAAATATTTTTTTTACAAATGTTATACAGTATGTGAGTATTTGATTTTGGATGTTTTTATTAGACACAATTCTGATAAAAGATTTATTTTAGTCAAAATATATTCTTGAAATACAAAGACATCACCATAACGGAAATTTCTGAGGAAACTTGGTTGACAGATACAATTCATCAATTTTTAGAATCTGCTGTGCGCGATATTCCTGGGCTGTCTGTTCACTCGTAAGCTAGAAAAATTAATTTAGCATATAATAAAGAATTTTTGGCCATCTAACGCTAATACTTTCACATTTTAGCACATGTGCTACTCTTTCGAGGCACCTCGGAAATGAAGAAAATCGTAAACCGAACAGAACTGTAAGATTAAAACTTGAAGACAATCAGTTCGAAATTCTATAC